TCTGCAGTGAGGAGCCCTCCTGCCTGGATAAACACCGCAGGAATTGGGAAAAAAAGCTCTGGACTAAATAACCTCGAGCTGCCCAGCACAAAGAAGCCAGAGTGCAAGAGGGACAGAGTCACGGCCAGCCCAAAGGCAAGTGCCCCAGCCAGCTTTGCAGTATTGCTTCAGGGGACAGATTTCAGCTCCGTGGGTGAATCTGACCAGGAAGGAAGAGTTGCTGCTTTCTTGAAAGTCCAGCCTCCCTAGGCATCGCCTCCTTTGACACACCCACCTTCGTCCTGGCATCCAGGTCCAAGCCCCAGATGTCACCGATGTCCCCTCCCTGCTCCCTCATCCCCAGCTGATGTCACCCCTCTCAACTCCATGCTGATCTGGGATCCATCAAGCTGGAGCCATTGGAGAGTGGAAAGCCCAATGTGTTATCATTTTCACCACAAATTAACAGTTTCTATGTAAATATTGGTATTTCCTCACCCTGTGGAGGCGAGAGGAGGTAAAACGGCACGGGCGCATTTGATTTAAACTAATTAAAAGCACAGGGTTGTGCAATTTAATATATTGATTTTACCAGTGGGACTGAACTCTTTTAAGTGTACAGCTGCGGCCTCTCCCCCACACTCTGGGCTCACCCTCACGTTCCTTCTGAAGATGACATGACCAGTCCATATATCCCTGTCTTCGCCAAACCCCAACACCCCGCAGAGTGCACCGGTGAGACTGGGCAGCAGGTGCCAAAACTCAAGTGCTTCCCCAGCTCAGGCTGCAGCTGGGTGCACGGGGCCCTGCGTTCCACAGCAGGCTGGGAAGGGTGGAGGAGGGCAGCCTGAGGACACAGTGATTCTCGCCTCGGGCCAAAGATGACTTTAGCACATGGGGTGGGCGAGATATTAAAGCGATATGGGTGATCAATCAACTTAGAAGGGCTGTCCCTGGAATGAAGTCATCACTTGTCTCCAAGTTCAGTGGACATGTGATATGCGCTCACATCGCAAGCATGCCAGTGGTCAGGGGATCATCCACCAGCTGTGTTTATCTGGGCAAAGGCTTGATGGCCGCCGCCACCAAGGTAAGGTCCAAGCCCAGCTCACCCAAGCCACGTCTCAGAGGCACTTTCTTCCCCCTGTGCATTCAAACAATCATCGCCAACGCCCCCCCCAACACACACACATTCCCGACATGTGCTGCCCCAAAGCCCACTCTTCTCGGGACCATCTCCCTTTCCCCTGGTAACTGAATAACAACCCTGGAATCCAAACCCAAAACATCTACCCAAGCTGGCATCCAGGGTTCAGCCTTACCCTGCTTTGATTTCAGAAGGGAAATCCACAGAAGATCCAAAAAGTTCAATTCTGGGTCATATATATCCTTGGGAAAAGGGGAGGAGAGGGAGATCTTTGATTTATATAAGCAGGAAAATGAGGTTTAAAAGAAGTGATTTTGAAAGGGTTACTAAAAACACAGCTGTTGGTACACTCCTAGAGTGAAGGCACTCTGCAGAGAGAGCGAGGGAAGGAAGAAAGAAGGGGAAGCCTGTGTGACAGCTATATTAACCTCTGGCTGCTTACCAGTGAGGGCCGTGCAGCGCTGGAATGCAAAGCAACTCCTTCCAGATTCTAACACAAGCCAGGTTACAGCTGCAGCGCCTGCCGTCCTGCTCCGCAGAGCCCTCCCCGAAGGACATTTTTAAACTGTAACAGAATCTTTTCCTAATACTCCACAGTGGTAGGGCCTGTTCTGAAGGGGCAAAAGGAGAGCTCGTAATGCCAAACACTTGTCAACAAAAAAGGATGGCCAGATGGTAGGAAGCAAAAAGCAAGCTGCGGCCTTCTCCCCACGCTTGGGCTGTGTTCGCAAAGACCACTTTCCTGCACTCTCTCGTAATGATAGGGTTCCAACTTTCTCTTTCTTCAATGCAGCTTTGAAGATTAAACAAATTTCATTCCTTCATAACCTGGCCCAGAGATAAACACAAGCAGCACGTCCCCATGCCAGCTAGCTTTGCTAGCAGAGTCCAAACAGAGCTGTTGGGGGCTTCCAGAGAAAAGTGAGTGGTCAGGGCTAAGGGTAGATCCAGTCTATGGAACTGTCGTCGCCTGGGGACTGTTTAAGAGAGCGAAGCCTGTTTTGAATTCCAAAATTAAGTCTACACAGAAGAACTGGAGGCTTTTTAATCCAAACCGGTTTACAGATCTTGCCATTGAACTTAAGAGGCCTGGGCTGGGGAGGTGTGAGCCCCGATCAAGCAGCTGACCGCTGTTGCTTGGGCCTTTATGGTGCAGGCTGGTCTTTGTCATTAGGTATCATCTGAAGTCCTCACTGGAGCACCTGGTTTTGTCGTAAATTCCCCACTAGTTTACATCCTGCTCAGCCTGGCAAAAAGCTCGAATTCCAAGGAGAACAACTTATAGGAACAAAACCCAGTCTGGCTACAGACAGCAGGAAGAATAAAGGCACCAGGTCTGCAGAAGCCTTCAGAATTCAGGCAGGGGTCCCCACACAGACAGGCAGGCAGGCCCACCCCACAGGACAGCAAAGGTATGCCCTGAGGGGGAGGGGCGGCGGAGGAACTCAGCCTCCCCCAAAGATCCTCACCCAGGGTTTCCAAAGTCCCCCCAATGGTAACAAGTAATGGTTTGACATGAACAAGTGATATTTTCTCACTTTTAGGTGAAGTGCAAGAATAAACTTGGCTTTAGAAAACTTTGTATGTTACAGATCGACATGATTTGTAGTCCAAGGGAGAACTGTGCCTCTCAGCAAACTCAGCATCAGGGCAAGTCTCCCACACACCCCATCCCTTTCAGCCCAACTGCCACCCCTGCATCCTTCCTAGGGAATAGGCCATTCAGGTCTTGCTGAGCAGAAATTAAAGGCCAGCCTTAGAAGCATGCACAGGAAGCCTCTCCCCAAACTGCAGTCCAGGTCTTCCCCTAACTAATTAACCTCGAGTTTAGGGACAGAGAGAGGAAGAAAACAAGGTCAGTGAGCTCTGTTAAAAGCCACTCTGCCATTTAATTTGGAGTGATGTTCCAGAAAGCTAGACCTGAGAAAGTCAGGCGGGTCCCACAAAGCCCAAAGCCAGGCGGCTGATTAAGAGGCTCAGACAAGCCAGTCTTTGTCCTTTCAAGATGAAAAGAACTGGATTGGAAGGTGTGCAGTGTGTGTACAGCCAGAGGAGGAAAACCACCCAGCTGTGGCCTTCCCAGGCAAGCCCCAGCTTGCTTCCAAGGGGAGGGGGGGGCGCGGGGGGAGCAGCTAGCCCTGCCCTGATGTTCCCAGCAGCACTAGTGAAGGATCTGGTCCTCCATTCGGATGCTGGAGCCCATAGGGCAGGTCTAGAGGCACCAGAGCAGAATTCACACTGGGCTTGCTGAAAGCCTGCTACTCAAGCCAGCCATTACTTTTTTAATGACCTCAGCCAGTTTCTGAGTGCAGCCCTGGAACCTGCGTGTTCAGTGGGAATCACAACAGGAGGTCGTGAGAAAGGGCCCCACTTAATCCTGGCTTCAGAGAGCAACACTACTTCCTGTTCCTTAATGTACTGATATGTGTGTGGTTACAACTTTTCTTTAGTTTTTGCTATAGACAAAAAATGCACACATCAAAAAATAACACACACAAAAGCACAATGAAAAATCAGACCTCAGATTCAACCACGTTAAGCCCCGCCCCCTAGTAAAATCTCTCTGGATTCATGGTATCTTCTCCGACTGGGGCACGGCTGATCTGCACCTTGCTTTTTTTCATCTCCTACATCTCAGAGACTGTTCTACACCAAGACATATGAAACTATCCCATTCTTAACTAACTCAAAATAACTCTGTTATTTTGGCATCTCAAGCTCCCACCCCTTGCTCCCTGAACCTATTTGATTTTGGCTACTATCAAGGACAGACAATAGCTTCCCAGAAACTCCAGGGTCCTTATCTGGGGCGGCAAGCATTAAGGCTGATCGGCGCTTCCCTGAGCCCCAGCTCCTCGCCCCAGGTGCCCAGCGTGGGGCTTCAAGCATCATCATTTCCAGGTTGACACAGCGCCCGTGGGCGTGTTTGCAGTCTTGGCTTGGATCGGGTTGTCGCAGCAAGTTACACAAGCGGAATGAAAGCGGCTCAGGAAACAGCGTGTTATCTCGAAAAGCAAATATTTGATCATCAGCCCTACAGCGCGCTGCCGGGGGTTAGTTTGAACAAGTTTAAAGACTAAAGGCGGAGGGGCGTACCGGAGCCCGCATCCTAGGGTCGTTGTGACTCCAGTCGAGAACCGGGTCCCCCAGCTGGCCCCGCGGGGGCGTCTGCCGGGAGATTCCGCGCCACCCAATCTCCAAAACCCGTGGTTTGCGCGCCACACGTGATAAACGCTGAAAATGGATTCTGCCCGCCCGGGACCTATCATTAAATATTTAAAATAGAAGACTCGCAATGGCAACGCTTCTTCCCCAGCTCCAATCGAGACGACGAGAGGTGGGCGCCCGGCGGCTGGTAGAGGGACTCCCGAGGCGCTCAGGGCGCGCTGTACGCGCACCGCAAGGGGACAGGTAGGGTTTGCCAGGGCGGGGAAGAGAAAGGATGCCCGCGGTGGCAGGGCCAGATAGGGCTGAGAGGGAGCGCAGAAAGGCGGGAAGGCAGCTTCTCCCAGACGGGCCCTTTAAATCCAGGTAGCGCGGGCTGCGGTGGCCGGGCCGGCTCACATGACTCCGCCAGGCGCTTTGAACTGAGCCGCGGCCCGCCCCAGAGATGCGGTAGGCGGCGAAACACCGAAGAGGCTTGGGGATGGGTCTCTCCCTCCCAATAATCAACCCCCACAGGCCAGCTGAGCCCGCCCGCCCGCCCTACCTGGGGGCGCACACCGGTTGGAGTCCACTAGGGTCCCGGGTGGGAGAACCTCGGGCAGGCACTGTGGTTTTACAAACGGCCAGGAATGGAAACGATGAGCGGGCAAGATGAAAAAAGTGCCACCCGAGAGGGACGCAGACCCCCCTCCCGGCTACCCTCACTCACCGAGGTTGACGAAGCTCATGACCATGTCGGCATCGGTGAGGAAGTGGCTATCTTGCAGGCTGGCCAGAGGGGGGCCCTGGGTACTGAAGACGGCCTTGTAGGGGTACGAGAAGCCCTGGCCGTCGGGCCCGCCGCCCTCCTCCACCGCCATGGCATTGTACAGGTCCAGCATGAACATGGGCGCAGAGTTGTGCTTGCCCTGGAGGTGAGGGCGCGGGCGATGGGGCAAGCCCAAGATGGAGAGGATCTCACGCTGCATCTCCCGCCGCTCCTGGCTGCGGAGGCGCCGGTGGATGAAGCTCGAATGCACCTCGTTGTCCAGACTGAAGTCGGCCAGGGCGGAGCGCAGCAAGAACAGAGGCGCCCAGAGCGCCACGAAGCTGTGTGGCCCCGCGGCGCGCAGCGAGCGCACGTGCATCGCGCCGGCTCTACGTGCGACCCGGGCTCCGCGCACCCGGGCCCGCGCCGCCCCAGGTGGCAGGGGGGTTAGGCAGCCGTCCACGCCGCTCGGTCACTTGCTGCAGACGGGCCCCGCTGCGCCCGCGCCAGACATGGCCACTCCCCGGCCGGCTGCGCTCTCCCCGGACCCCCGCCCCCTGCTCGGCGCTGGCCCGGGGCCCCTCGCCCCGCACTCGCCCTGACGCACCGCAGATCTTGGAAACTAGCTTCAGCAAGCGAGCGAGAGCGAGCGAGGAGGCGGGCGCGGGGTGGGAGGAGCAGCCAGCAAACCTAAGAGTCCAGCGAGCGAGTGCCGGGGAGGCAGCGAGGCGGCTGGCGAGCGAGCGCTCTTTCCTCCAGCTCCCTCACTCTCGGGCTGCGACCCACCCTCTGGCGACCTTCGGCGCGGGGAGCAGGGGCCCCGGGTCGCTCTTCCAGCCCTGCGCTCCCCTGATCTCTCGCGAGCCGCCTCGCGAGCCCCTGAGTGGTACGAGCTGGGGCCTGGGAAGAGGAGGAGGTGGAGAGCAAGAGGAGGAGGACGGGCTTCCAGGGCCCCTCCCGCGCCCGCGGCCTCCCACCTGCGCTCGGCCCCGCCCTTCCCCGGCTGGGCCCAATGGGTTCATTCATTCCTTCTTGGGCGCTCCACAAATATTTAGCGAGTGCCCACCGGGTGCCCGGTACCGGGGACGGACACCGCGGGGGTGCGGAGAGAGGAATTCGAGTCGGCCCCGCCTTCTCTGGGCACTTGCAGTTGGGACTAGAAAGGAGGTCGGAGCCGACCAATGGGACTCCGGATGCGGTGGGCAAAGTTGGGGTGGGGTGAGGGGGCAGAGGAAGAGTGGGGGGAAAAAGAAGGCGGTGACTCTTGAGCCTGACTTGTCACTCTGTCCCCCCCAATACGCCCTTCACTCCAGTCACGTCGACCCCTCCACCCTCCCCAACCTGCTGCCGGCTTGCCTGCACTTGCCTTCCTCTGCCTGGACTCTCCCAGGCCCTCTGCCCCCAGGAGTGCCACTTCCTCCCCAAGACCTTCCAGTACCCGTGGAGATAAGGGCGCTCCTCCTCTCGCCCCCTCGCACATTTATTTTGTTTACTGTCCGGAATTTCCCGCTGTTTCTATTGTCTTGCCCCCTCTAGAGACTCAGTGCCCTGAGGGCTCTAGACTAGCCATCTTTTCGGAGCTCCTGGGAGCCACTGTGGCTGCAAAATCCCTATTGGTTGGGGACGTAAGTGAAAGTTGTGAGGGGTGGGGAGAGCACGTCCCCAACCACTGCTGAGACAGATGCCTAGCCCCCACCTCAAGAGTGTGGGGGGAGCAGGCAGCTGTTTGCCTCCAGTTCATGGCCAAGAAGAGACTTCCAGGGCTTCATTTCTGCCCTGTCCTCAACTAAGAAAGAGCCTAAGGCTATTCTCTGACCTGTGGGACCTTCAGTGAGTACTGTATCTTGGAGCCTCCATTTTTTCATCAGGAAAAGTGGGAGCTCCCCTCTTCTCCCCAGATCTCCTGGAGCTAGGCTCCTGGGAGGATCCAGGGAGTTTGGGATGAGTGTGAAGGGTTGAGTATGGGAAAGGGGTGGGGTGGGGCACTCTGGCTCAACCTTACTTGCAGGTTGGTCCTGCATCCTGGAGCAGGAGGGCTGGAGGAGACCATCCTGGCAAGGGTAGTCTGCTGTGAGGCTCTCTGGTCTCCCTTTAAGGGCCCTTGGACAATATGGCAGTCTGAGGGGCCACATGGGTGGAGAGAGGAGAGACCTTGGCCAGGAGGGAAGCAGCAGCTGTTCACAGGCAGGTCCCAGATATTCCCACGTGGACCCAGGTTGCAGGACACCATAAGCCCCCTTACCAGGCAAGGTCCTCAAGAATCCTCTGTGCTGCCCTGTATCTATGAACTCCTTCTCTCCACATGGAATGTGAGCAGGTGGCTGTGTGTGCAGTCACCCTTAATATCATGCCCTGTGGTCACCATATTGCAGTTCTTGATAACCAGTGGCCACAGGGCCCCCTGTTTTCACTTTGCACCAGACCCCAAACATCAGGTGGCCAGCCCAGTGCTGAACACAGTACTGGGTGGAGGACACAGCAGTGAGTGGCGGTGAGCAAGACCATGTGGTGGCCTCCATGGAGAAGCTGGTCTTTGAGTGGGGGAGACGGGAGAGAGACTCTCAATGAGGTCTGGGGACAGGAGAGGCTACGGAGGAGGTGTGGAGATGAGACACCTGGACTGGGTTTTGTACAGTGAATACATCTGACCCAGGGACTGTTGGGTAGGTAGCTGGAGAGCCATCATATCCACTATCCATTAGAGAGAGAGCATGCAACTCAAGATCCCAGGTCACTCAGCCTGTGAAAGTGACCACGTGCAGAGGGGGTCAAACAGGATAAGGTGATAGAATGGGCTGGGGACTTCTGGAGGGGAGGCCAGGGCCCTGAATCCTGAGGGATGAGAGGAGAGGGAACAAGCCTGGCTTTCCCAGAGAAGGCATCCAATAGAGGAACCAGCCAGCACACCAACCTACATAGTGGGGACAGAGCCAGCTGGGCCCCCAGCCCTGCCCACACCCCATTGAAGACTACCCAGGGAAAGAGCTGCTCTGCCACCCCCAATGACAGGGGTGGCTTCCTTCCAAAGTCTAGAAGAAGGCAAGTCAGGAGGCATTGCTCTGAAGATGTTCTCCCCACCCCCCCACCCCCGGCTCTGTAAGCCACTCTCCATCTTTAGGGGGATCACCCTAGCCATGTGGAAAGGGGCACTGCTGGAGAGTCATGGGAGCAAGATCCTCGTGTCCCCTCCTGGTACATCTTACCTGGTCCCACTCTGAGCCCCACACCCAGCCCTGTGACCACGGTGGACTGGGGGCCTCGGTGCTTCTCAGGCCCCTCACCCCAGCAGAGTGGAGAAGCCTCCTTTTCTCTGCCCTTTCTCCTCACAGAAGAGGAAATCATGTGCTCCACCAACCTGCAGAGATAAGGCTCCCTCTGGGCTCTCACCCCCTATTTAGCCTTATCTCTTGGTGATCAGCTCCAGGAAGATAGACTGTGCTGGGTCCTCAGTGTGCTAAATGCAAACATGAAGCAAGAAATACCCCCATTGGGAGGTCCTGGATGCTAGCATGGGGCCAAGGCCACCACAAGAAAGGCCTGCAGGTCCTTTGGAGAAGTCTCAGGTGGAGATGTCATCTGGGATCTGGCAGCCAGCCCACCGTGTCCACACTTGGCTCTGCCACTTCCAGTGTGTGAACCTCTCCACACTTCAGTTCTCCCATTGGTGAGTAGCGGCAGGCTCCTAGGGTGACCCCAAAGACTCAGAAGTGAATTCTGCTCACACAAAGGGCTCAGCTCCCGGCCTGGGAAGAAGACAGAGACACTGCTGTTTGGATAAGAAGGAAAACGACCTTAGCCAGAAAGTCTGAGTTTTTGTTGTTTTTTGGTACTGGGGTTTGAACTCAGAGTCTACACCTTGAGCCACTTTGCCAGCCCTTCCTTTTTTTTTTTTTTTTTTTTGGGACACGGTTTTTCAAGATAGGATCTCACAAACTATTTGCCTGGGCTGGATTCTAACCACGATCCTCCTGATCTCTGCCTCCTGAGTAGCTAGGATTACAGGTGTGAGCCACCAATGCCCAGCAAATCTTGAGTATTAAAATAACAGAACGTTCATGATGGCGCGTCTTGGGGCCCAGCAGAGACAGCAAGCCAGGCCTGGCCAAGAGCGGGGAGCATCGGAGGGAGAGGGCAAGAGCCCAGCAGAGGGGCATCAAGATGAAAGGTAATCCCTGCATTCCATCTGCTCCTTGTCCCCAGCCCCCACCCTGGCCAGCTAGGGCCCAGGACTTCCCTGAGGCCTGTCTCATTTCCCCAGCAGCCGCCGACCCCCACACTCCCAGCTCTGCTTCCTAGAGCCAGGGCACCCAGCGCGGGGCTCCAGGGCGGTAATCTGATCTGATCTGCCTGGGCTGCTCCACACCTGGGCTGAAAGAGGTCCTGGAACTGGAGGGTGTTATTGTGTTCAGCCACCCCCGCCCACTGTCCCCACCCTGACTGGCCTCCCAGCGTGGGGCAAGGACTTTTCATTTCATACATCATCAGTCACATCTTGCAGGAGAGATTTTGACCAAGTCAGCATATGTCCCCAAGGCAATAAAAAGAAGAAAAGAATTCTGCTGACACGCGCATTGTTCAGCGAGGTGGGGGCAGTCTGCATCTCCAGAACTCTTATTCCATCTGCTGGAGGAAGCCCAGCCGGCCCAAGGCATCCGACAGGGCTGGGGGGCTGCTCCCTCTTCCACCCCACCTGGCCAAGGCCCCAGCAGGAAACAAGAGGACCAAGAGCCTGCTCACACACATGCTTGAAAATCCTGGTGTGCCGACAGCCACCGAAGAGGAAATTATTTTAGCACACCTATAATGAAAATCTCCTTCCTGTGCAAACCTCTCTTTGCACCAGAGGTGCGGGTTCCTCATGCCTGCTCCTCCTACGGGGTTCTTTGTACAATGTTTTAAACAGTGACATAAGAGATGCAATATCTCCATCATGCTGGGCATGATGGGATATGCCTGTAATCCCAGCCCTCAGGAGGCTGAAGCAGGAGGATCATGAGTTCAAGGCCAGACTGGGTTACATAGTGAGAACTTGTCTCAAAGAAAAAAAAAAAAACTTCCATCAGAATTAAGCACATGTGACATAGGCTACAGTTCCAAATGGAAAACACAGACAGGTGAACTGACACACACGGTCCTGAGATGTCACCACAGATTTCCAGAGTCTTCTGAGGAGGGAAGCTGGCTGTGACCGGCATATGACATCATAACTGTGGTTTCCCTGCTTCTTCTGGCTTGGCTGGGAGCACTAGCGCTCCCTGGCTCAACTCTAGGGGCCCTTTCCTCTCCTCCTTCCACAAGGTGCCACAGCCCCTGGCCTGTGGGAAGCATTTGCCCCTGTGGGTGACACCCACTGTGACCATGCTGCCTTCCCCACATCTCCCTCCACCTGGAGTGGCCAGTTCTGCCCCTCAGATCCTGGAAAGGGTGTGCTGAGAGCGGTTGGCCTAAAGTCCACAACTAATCTGTGACAGAGTCAGAATCCAAAGTCGCATATGTGTACACGGCCAGGAGCTCAACTGTGTTTAGTGATCTGGGAGCAGTCCTTTCCTCCTGGCTTTATCCTGAAACTCTGTTCTACACCTGGCTGTGCAAAGGACCCCAGGACCTGTTATGCCTCCCTCATCCTCCCTCCTCCCTCCCCCAGCTCCCAGGGGCTCTTGCTGCTGCTGTCTTTGTTCTCTGTTGAATAAAGCTTTCAATTTCTGAAGTTACAACTGCTACATTGTTTGAGGCTTCAAAGCAAATAGTAAATATCTGCCAACTACTATTCTAAGTGCTGTTTAAATTAACTGATTGCCCCTCCCAACTACCTTATAAAATCCTCATTACTAGCCCCATTTCACAGATGACAAAATCAAGGCTCAAATACCCAAAGTGAATCTGCCCAAAGCTACA